CGGGACTCGACCGCATGCCGGAAATGCAGTGCTGGATGTTCCCAACCAATATTTTCACGAGGGAGTTTTGTCTGATTAATTTCCTGCACGTTTCGATAAGTTCTTGAAAGTAATTGTATAGAGGATTTTATATCGTGAAAGTACTATGTAGTTTTGTTAGAATTTCCAGTTTGACTTATCCTAACTCCTATGTGAACATTATAAATAAAGAAAAAGTATATGCCGATATTTGCAGCACGTATTTTCAAAAGCCTATTTGGATATCTGTGCTGGTTCACTTGAAACATTAATAAATTACGTCTTTGCGAAATTCACAAATTTCCATCGATTAACAGACATTTAGAATCGTATGCATTCTTTTTCTTGCTTGTTCTGCAAGAACAGTTACCAGACACACACTCGTGTTAATTCATGTGATACAGTTCAAAATGCAGGACCAAGATTACAGGAAAATGGCTTCTATTTCGTAGAACACAGTCTCGCCGTATCTTAGTTTTTCAGCAGCTGATTATCAGTTGCTGACAGGATGTCTCTTTGATGGAAAGAACTGTGAGAAGAATTGCAATGAAGATGGCTGTCTTGTGGGTTGTAGCACCGTGTAGTATGGTAGAAGTTTACGGTAAATCTTCAGACTCACCACCGTAAGAACCTCAAATCCTACAAGAATTACAATATAATACAATGGCCGATGTCAGTCATACTTGTTTCTACTGTTACTATCAGTTTTCTTCGATCTTATGGTACAATGATTACAGGATTATAAGCGTCTGTTATACTGTTTCCATTGTAATTTTGTTAAGGAATTCTCGATCTTATGCAAATGTTCTGTAAGAAAATTATTTCCATGCCGTGTGAATCACTAACAGGTTATCTGATGCCAGATACATATTTATGGCCATATACTGGTTCGTAATCCCTTTTTGTGAGGAGAAATTTTGTGGTGTGCCGTCGTGTTTCTGACAAATTTGAATGTACCACGCGTGAAGAAAATTTGCAGAACAATAACCTAGTTGTAGTGTTAATACTATCCTGATTAAGGTTTTGCATAATTTCCTTCAGTTTCTCCAGTTGTATACTGGAAGAGCATATTAAGAAAAGCCTCAACCGCCTCCTTTCAAATGCTTACCCATATGCAATTCATAATCTTATTCGCATCTTTTACTCTAAACAGGTCTAACATTTGCATCTGGAAGAGGACCTCCGTCTAACCAGTCTTACCAAATATCTAAAGAGTTTCGAAAAGCTGGCAGGAAATGTTCCATAAATCCCAAGCTCAGTGTAGGTGACAGTACG